TAACAAAATAATTTAAAATTATGTAGGAAAAAAACAAATTCAATGTGTAGTTTATATAATAAATAGGTGTTTGAACTGAATTCTATGCAGAAGCTTTATATAATATTTAGTACTTATAAATACTTGGTTAATATTTAGTATCTTTTTTATAATTTGGATGATCTGGCTTTATTTTTTACAATTACTGTCAACTTACCCAAAACCAATATGTATAAAAAGGTTACTAGGTTTCAAAACATTATAAAATATTAGATTTATAGAGCAATATCAGACTTGTAGACTAATTTTTATCAGATTTGACAAGTTATCGATTTTGATAAGATCAGTTTTTGGAGGTTTAATAGTATTAGGTTTATAGAACAGAAACAAATTTAGTAGACTAATTTTTATCAGCTTTGATGGGATCGATTTTGGGAGGTCTAATAGTATTTACTTTTTTTTTTTTTTAGCATATATAGTATTTATGTATTAACAAATAAACTATAGATCTTTTTCAATAAACTACCTTTATATTTTGTCACATTGATCTTAATTATAGCACAAAAATTATTAATTGCAATTATGACCAATTATAATTTTTAAGATTGACTTTGTTTTTAATTTAATGAAATAATAATCCTGGAGATATTATATTAGTTTGTATCTAAGCTACTATATTAAAAAAATATTGTTTATGTTCAGAAGAAAGTACTATTATAAGGAGGAATACATTTGATATTTAATTATATTTAATCAATATGATTAAAATACTTAGATACTTTATAAATCTATTATATTGTATATTGTATATTATGTTCAGACCTTTAAATCAAATTATGCTAAAAAAGTTATTTTATTCTAATCAGGTAATGATAATAATAGAATTGCTAATTTTTTTGTGCTATTATTTTTATTGTAGTCATTATTTATCATTAATTTAAATATTATAAAATTCATATTCAATAACTGGTATAATTTATGTAATGCTAATAAAGTTAATTTATTTATGCAATAAAATTCTGATGATTAGTCTAAAAAAAATTTATTTATTGTTTTCAATATAGAAGAGAACAATATATTATCTATGAACTATTTTTTTTGAATATGCATTATATTAACAGAATATTGATCTATGCCAGCCAATCATATAAGAATATTGATTTGATTAATCTGTGCCAGCCAATCAGATGTTAATCAACATGTTTCAATTTTGAATAAATTTAATAACTTCAAAATGCATTAACTTTTTATAAAAGCAATATTTCAAAAAACTGACTGATAACTTTGTTCTTTATAATAAGTTTACAAAATTACTGGTCAGTTTTTTGAAATATAGCTTCTATAAAAAGTTGATGTATTTTAAATATCTTTTGTTGTTTAGTTATATGATTGTCAAGTATAGGCTATCAGTACTATATAAACAATTATGAAAAACATATAACATTCATTTTTCTAATTGAAAAAAACAATAAAATAGATCTTAATCTTAATTAACAACTCTCAACATCATCCAACTTAGTAACTAGGCATACATGTTTTCATAAAAACCATACTTACTTATGCCTTTGCAAACTTTCAAATCAATTACATACTCATTTTAGCATATGTTCTCCTATTGATCAAACAATTCACAAAATTAACATTTAGTCTATTTTATAGATCAAATATAATATATCATCAAATTATATACTAAATATTCAAATCTAAATAAACTTTGATTACTTTAATAAGTTTAGATTACAGATAAATTAGTCTGAACTTTTATTTTTGTATGTAATTTTTTAATTTATTTGTTTTGTACAAATAGTAGTAATGGTATAATTAACAGTTTAATAAGTAATTTTAACTGCAAGTGTTAGCTTTGATTATAACATATATACATATAACTATTTTAAATTATTAATAAAGATATAAACAAGATCTCATATTATGTAATACCAAAAAAAAAATATATATTGTTTATAGTTTTTAGAAAAGTTAAATATCAATAAGAATTATATAAAAAATAACATGTCTTGATTTTTTAGTTTAAATAATTTTATATTAATTTTTTAAAGAAAAATGTTTTTTTGTACAACACATGGCAGTGCATCTTTCTAATTAGCCAATTGAATTTTAGAATATGATTTAATGTAATATAATATAACAATTTTGCATTTTAATTGACTAATTAGAAAGTTGCAAATGTGTAAAAAAACTAAACTTTTTTTTAAAAACATTTAAAAATTTTAATAAAAAATATAATCTTACTATTTTTAAAATTGAGATGCAATTTAAAATCAAAACAGAAGTTAAATATAAAATTTCCAAATTTAGGTTAAACAAGGTTTCAAACATTTTTTACTTAGTATATCTGACCTCTGTTTTATAATCTTATTTTTAAAAAATGATAATTACTTTTAAGTTAAATATTTTTTTGTAAAATGAAAAAATTAGATTAGCAGCATTATCTTATATCCTATCGATTATAATTGCCCAATTTTTATATCATTCAATTCATCTCACTAAGATGAATCAAATGGTGTAAAAATTTATTTAATTTCGATCAATGCTTAGCAAAATATCTTAATTTTAAATATTTATAAAAAATGGGTAAAATTCAATTTTTATAAAATTTTATATAAATTTTAAATATGAGAAAAATTGAATGATTTTTTATTAATGAGTATTTGCGCTATGCGTAATCGCGTTGAAGCAATTTTTTTGATTTTCGAAGCCGTGATTTTATTGGCCGATTTACATGTGACATTATGTAATTTTATGTGTTACAGAAATGCCTAGAAACATCTGATCGGCATTTTTCATACCATAAAAGGTGTGATCGACACTGCCCATATGACTGTTATATGTAATTACATTTCCATCTGATCGCTAATATTGGATTCTATCCAACGTCGCCAATTTTTTTTACGTTGAGCAGTATCCTCTTTTAATTTTGATGTTGGTACCGCAGAATTCAATCTTCTAAAACTATCTTCAGTATTGTTAACGAAGAAAACGTGATACGAATTAATACAAATTTTGATTTCCAAACCATTTCGAGTTAAAACATTAGACATTATTTGCTCCGAAACATCAACAGATGGCAAATTTCTATTATTAAATGATTATACGTCAGTGCTTTATTTACGGTGAATTTTCAATTTTGCACAACTCGAAGATTACATAATTTGAGAAATAATTTCTTATGGAGAATAATTACCTTTTAAGGAAAGGTCGTTCGGTTTTCGCTGACACGCCTTCGGTAGGGTTCAACGACATGTAACTATACATATAATACGCCCATTTTCCCTCGGATGAAACTGCGTTGCCCAGTGTGTAATCACGCCCCGACAGCAATATTGTCATAGCTCGCTCATCTTTATCCTAAACAAAATTTTATAATTCTATTACTGAAAGCAAAACACTAAACGGGTTCTTGCTAGGAAGACCACTCTTGTGACTATATAGATTTTGCAAGATTTGCTAACTATCTAATAATCCAATTTGAATAAGCTTGTTTTTTTTTTCAAAAAAAAAAAAAATAGAGCTTTATATAGATTTACTCAAATGGATTGCTAAGTGGTTGAGAAAGTTAAATTTTGATTTTCCTAACAAGACCCCCCCGAATATTTACAAACATTGAATACACACATAATCCATTCGATATGTTGGTTCATCATATCCAATAGTACTATTAGCGTGCAATTGATACATTATATGGGATCGCACGCTTGATTGATCGTGTCGCTTTTTATTATTCTCAAATAGGTTGATCAATGTATTTGATTTTGCATCTGACACTAATAATTGCATCTTAAAAATAAAATTTGTCAGAATAATAATAAATAAAAATGAAAATAAATGTGAGGGACCAACATGAGGTCCATTGGTATTTAAAGTCCGCCAATGATTAATAATCATAAAAAAATACTAATTGACCTCAGTTTGTTCCTCACATTAAATATTAAACAATTAAATTTGAAATTTACTTGTTTAGTCATATTTTGGACAAGTTTATCCACAGTAAACATTATGTATGCTTTTGTGCCATATATATATCGAAGGCATTCCTCAAAAACCGGTAATTCCATATCTCCATCGAATTGTTTTTCAATTAATTCTAGCATAACTGCATATGGGTCACCTTTGTTTAAATCCATGTCAACATCCGCTAACAATATAAAAAAAGTAGAACGTGAAAACTGTTAAATAATCGAGATTTATTGACAACTATATATAATGCTTATGAGAAAACAAAATATGATTAAGACTCACGGTCAATGCGATCAGGCAGGAGACCTAATTCGGTAGCTACAGCACTTGGTCCCCTAACTTGAGACGTAGATGATGATATCTCTTGTGCACTTTCCTTCATCGTTTCGAGACGGCTAAATAACATCTAATAAAACAATTATTAACAAGTTTGTTTATTATTATTATCTATAAATCTATATCTTACTTGCAAAAAGCGGAAAAAGCAGTAAAAGGAATTATTTCCAAAGAAATAGCACGTAGACTTTTTTTTTTGTTTCGCATTTCCGGCATTAGCAACAACGGCTCGAATATTCTCACGAGATTCTTTTGAAACCTGAATCCACATTCCACTTATTGGTTCCGCATTTAAAGGCTCTCCATCAATATTGTCAGTTGATATATTTGTCGAAGTTTCTTCATGATCAACCAACATAGCCGAATCTTCGTGATTTAAGCCATCGAACATATTTGGTGGAAGTTCAAAAAAGCTTGGTACAAATGTCTTAAAAAAACGTTCGATCTTTTCACGATCACTTGGTGCAACCGTTAGTGACCGATCCATATAACCAAAGAGAATGCGAGCCACATCTTTGAAGACTTCTAAATCCTTAAAGATAAATTTGAATTGATATTCAGCAGGCTCACCTTCGTCAGAAGGCTCGCGACGAAGATTTTCAATTTCAGCAACTAAATATTTAGGTGTTAAAGCTTTTTTATCATCATTCTTGAATGTTATTCCTTGATGATCCAGAGACTTGTAATAATTTTTGGCATCAATCTCTCTCCATATTTTATTCCATTCTCTCTACGGGAATAAAGATCATTATGTACAGAAAATAAATTAAAATCAATTGAAGTGAATAAACAAACCCTTGCTCGTTTCCATTCTTCATCTTTTTGTCGAAGTCGTTTGAGCACTACCGGAACGGCAGTGCATGGATTGTTATGTAAAGCATCAATGACTTCAAGTCCTTTTTCAACGTCATATACCTTCTTTATAATACGCTGATATATCATTGATTGTCCTCCTAGACCAGGTTCAAGTTTAAATTTAGCCTTTTCTTCAGGTGTCAATTTGGTATTAATCTTCTTCTCAATCGGTTCCAATAGATGAATCGTATGAAGATTGGCTTCAATAAACATATCATATTCATATCTAAACGAAATAAATAGATAAACGTAAAGTGTAATATTAAGGAATGTTAATGGAAGGAAATAAGTGCCGAATTACAAAATAATACACTAGATGTATAGACCTTTCCTCTTCACATTTATGTAAAGCTTCTTCGAATTGATTCTTCTTATGTGATACGAATCCGGCCTCTTCGCTGGCCCATGTGGGATGCGATACCCATTTATCATTTAGTACCTCATAACACAGTTCGTCTCTACCAGAACAAGGCATGTTAGCCTCCTTTAAACACGTAAAAAAATATATGCATAGTAATCGTATTTAGATATTATTTATAAAGCTAGAACCAATTAGTATGAACAATTAAAAAACGTACTGATTCAGGTAACTGTCGGTAACTTGGTCCGTATGAAATGCATCCTTCCAAATCAACACGTGGTCTGGAATTAGCGGTATTTTGAACGATCTCGTCTCTTTCGTTTAATTTAAGGAACTGTTTTAACCAAGCATATAAGTCGGAGCTCGTTCCCCCCAAAAAAGGTGCCATATACTTGAGCAAAGATTGGCCATCCAAAATTTCTTGACTATACAAGTTTAGGAGCTTAAGGAATTCGTTATAGCTGTGCTTATTTGAAATGTACTTCTTGGCTTTTTCAAAGAATTCTAATTCTTCGGTAGATGCCAAAGGCTGTGGCTCCATTGCTTTTTGTGACTCAAGTTTAACTGGTATTGATGATGAGCTTGCATGAACCTGATCACCTGAAGGCTTGTGAGATAACTTTGATTTCTTTGGCTATGAATCAATTATTTCAGTCCAAAATAGCAAGTAATACACATATTCAAATAATCAACAATGTCATACCTTGCTAGATATCAAGCTAGGACTTCGATCCGAGTTGGGAAGTCCGGTCCTTTTTTTCTTGTTTACACTGGAGGAACCAGTAGAATTTGGTCCAACCACAGACCCCAAACCATTGTTCGTCGATCCAATGCCCGAACCCTTCTTGAATGTATCGTTTACCGATAAGTTAACAGATGATTGTGACGAGAAATTACCGACAGATGGCAATCTAGTGGCTCCATGACCTGTTATTTGTGGTGGAAAGATACAATATTTAACACCATTAACAAATAGTGTGAATATAACGTGAAATCAAATAACCACACAACTAACCGGAGCCACTATTAGCAATCGCTGAAATGGCAGGTAATAAATGTGACTGTTTTGGCGTACCATGATTTTGAAGAATGGGTCCAAATAAACCACCTGACGCTACATTACCGGATGTATCAGGTAAAAACTGTTTGAATTCGTCCAGAAGATCTGGCGCATTTTTAAAAAGTACTTGAACTTGGGAGTAAACCTTTTGTGAATAGAAATTAAAATTAATAATGTTAAACTTTAGCATATAAGGCATTAATATTTACCAAACAAAACTACTACCTCCTGGATTGGCTTTTGTTCCTTCTGGTATGTTTGTAAGATTTCTAGGAACTGTTTATAAGTGTCCGGCTCTGTCGAAAAACGATTCTTAAACGCAAAAAAATTTTCATCATCGGTCTCATATGAATTAATTACGATACGATAAATTACGATATTGAATTTCTCACTATCAACCAACTAATTAGCAAAAATTGCAGTGCTTACTTTAATCTTATTTACGTAGTTGATAGCATGATTGAATTCGACAGGTGCCTTTTTACCTTGTTGCTGAGGAGAAGTATTTTCAGCAACACCAAGTCCCACAGACTGCACTGCCTGTGCAATAGTTTGTTGAGCCACCGATTGTCCTACAGATTGCTGAGGAGAACCAATACGATAAGAAACTGTTTGTATTGGCATAGAAGAACCCGGAGGATGCGGTTGCAAAGTTGGCATTAAAGAATGAGGTGGAGGGTGTGGGTAGCTAGCATTTGAATAATATCCTGAACTTGTAATATTGGATACAGTAGAAAGTGTCGGTCCATGGTGTGGATCCATGGGACCAATTGAGGTTGTTGTAGTCCCGCTAGGTGTCGTAACACGGATGGAATCAGGATCATGAGGATTGGTTGAACACTCAATATGATACCCGGGAGGTAAAAATGTATTGAATCCTTGTATCAAAGCAGGATGCCCTTTGAAAAGAGACGATACTCGCTCAATGACGCCGGGCGTGTCTATAGCCTGACTTTTAAAGTCTTTCATTATATCAAGGAACCTATTATACACATCCGGCTGTTCTGAGAATTGCACCTTCACCTGATCAAGATATGACAAAGCATCTTTAACGTTAAGAGCCTGCTTATTATTATTTTGGGACATGGTAGGCAACCTTACTATCTAACTTTGTTTTCGTACTTATAGAAACAATGAATCATGATTATAAGCGGATGAGTGAAATATTATTTATAAGATTTTGTTTATCACGTGCCTTACGAAGCACGATAGTGATAGCACGATGCATAACCAATTGAAATGATAATTTGATAATCTGATAATCTTAATTACAACACCCTCTCGTTTTCGTATAACTTATCAATACAATGAAATATTAGTTAATATTAAAATATAAATTTTTCGGTATAATGAATTCGTTTCATTATAGGTAACTCTAAATTAGAGATGGGCACGACTCAGGTCGGCTCAAGTCAAACTTTGAGCGAGTTGAATCGACTCGGGCTCTGAGTGAAAGAATTTTTAGGAACTCGTTGATTAGACTCACTCAAATCCCGAGCTTCCGACCAAAAAAATATGGGTCTGTGGTATCTCAAAAATTCCCTATATAAATAACATCAAAAATTGCAAAATTTCATGACGAAAAGTTTTATTTAGAGGTCGGAAGTTAGTTATCATAATAAATTTCCGGTTTGTTACACAAGATCCTGTAACTTTACTGGATCCGGTTAAGGTCGGAAGTGATCTTCAGCCTAACAGAAGTACCTGACCAGGCCGGGCCAAAAATTTTGGGTAATTCGCTAGAAAAACCAACGTTTGGCATTTTCTGACCAATTTTAAGATTATAATTCAAATTAAAGTACCAGTTCTTATTTAATAAAATATTAAGATTTTTATATTTGAAAAATTAATTCTTCGAAAATAAAAAGTTCTAAAAATAGAATAACAACCAATCAAAAGATTGTAATTTAATTTGCCGAATCGAAATCAAGCATACAACTTTGTTCGTGCAAAAAATTTATAGCAATACTTATAAATAAATCAAAATCTGAAATTGAAATGCTATTTTTCTTTTTTTAAAACTAATCTTTAAATAGTGGTTTTTTTAAAAAAACTACTTATATTAAAATTTGTAAGTTGAATTTAATAATAAAATTTATAAATTTTTTTTTTTTTTTTTTTTGCTCTTAAGCAGTCACATTAGTACTTTATTAAGATTCTTGCAACTATATACAATAACTACATAGAATTTTCCTAATAACTAAGTCCAGCATCACCCAGCCACCTTATTGGTACCTAAGTGCAATTTGTTGCATTACCTTAATTAGAGTTAGACTGCTTATCTGGCTACTTAAAACCATACCAGAAAGGATTTCTCTCTTCTGAGACAAGCATTAACTGTCTTTAATCCTTTCTTTAAATTCTTTCTTCTTTTCAAAAGATCAAAAAAAAAGAGATATTATAAAATTAAATACAAATAAAAATATGACTAAAAAAACCAAAAGTAAACAAACAAAACCCAAATCAAAACAAAATAACAAAACAAATATGTAATAATAAAAAAAAGAAAAAACAAAAAGAAGATCAAAGCCTCAGCCAGAACAAGTTGTAAAAATTATATAGTACTGTTACTTCTAGTCTCTATTCTAAAAATAGGTCTATATTATATATAAATGTAATTCGATGATAGAGATGTCAGTGTTTAATTTCTTCCTCACCAGTTCTATAATCAGCCTTTTCATTCTGTTTAAAGTTATTTCTAATTTCAGAAAAGGGATAATTCTCCTATTCCCAAAATGGATGATTTCTGTAGATCTTTTATAGGAGGTATGCTAAATTCCCACTTCTTATAAAAACTTCTGTTAAAAACCAAGCAAGAAATATGATAATGGTGTTTAGTTAGCAGGTATTTTTGAATTTCTAATGAATATATTAAAAAACTTGCTTATTGTTCTCCTATAAGGCCTATTATTTTAACTTTGTTAACAGAAACCAAGACTTCTACTAAAATTTGTTATACAAGGGCATTTCCTGCTAGTTATCTTATATATACATGCTTTTAGTTTGCTTGCTAAATATATAAAAGAGTCCAGTGTAAAAGAACCACTTTAATCTTTATAAAAATCATTATTTATATAGTAATCTCTTCTATTTTCTTCAATAAGTTTTCCATTTTTGTTAATATGAAATTTGGTACAAGTGATCGTTAAAGAAAGTTGTTGAATTTAATATTATTAAAATTTATAAATGTAAATTATGTTAGATCTCTAGATACATATAAGATTTTTGTTATATAAGTTTAAAAATAGTAATAGTTGGTTTGGTTTAGCTTGGCTTAAAAAATTATAACTCAAGGTTCAAGTTATAATTTTATAATTATAATTTAAAAAGATATAATACTTAGTAAACAGGTTGTTAACTCTTATATAATAGGTTTAGTATTCAAATCTTATAAATAACAAATTTTGGAAATTATATTTACTGATTAGTTGAATTTATATGCTTGTAATCTTAAGTATATTAGGTCAGGTTTTACTCAATATTGAAAGTTTAGAGCATTTATATAAAATGTAATGATACATATATATAGAATAATATTTTTTTTTTATTATAATAAGTAATTAATTGTTTAGTCAAATTGGTTTTATTAGGTAATGCTATTTTAAGTACATTTTTAGTTTATAAAAGTACAGTTAGTTATATATACAATTCTAATTATTATTTATTTAAGAGTTTTATTCTAAGATTATTTGCTATTTATCAATTTTTAAAGTATCCAAAAACTCTTTTTGCTGATCTGCAGTACCAAAATTGGCATTAAACAAAATATAAACAAAGCTCAAAATCAAGACTAAGAAGCAACATCAGCACTTCTAAGAACAAAGGCTTAGCATTCCAAAAAACATATACTTAAATAGAACCAATCTTTATTAACTTGAACATTTAGTTCTTTTTACAAGTTTTTAGAAAATTTTCAACAAAATTTCATATAAATTATGGAAAATTAACTTGATTTCAAAAACAAAAGCACACAACACATGACCAGTGAACAACAACAAACAAATAAACAAATATGTCTCATTTTAAAAGAAGTGATAGCTACATAACAATAATAACAAACACAAGATTATGTATTAAATCAGATAAGAAAACAGACTTAGAATAAGATTAAACAAACAAAAGCCAATCATATTAGTTACAATAGATAAGATAAAAGAATTATATAATTAAGAGATATTATATTGCATCAGCAGACTAAATGCTAGAAATTTAAGGTTTATGAACAATAAGATATTAACAAAAGAACCAAGAGCAATAATGCTTCATGTTCCAGATAATAGCGAGCATATAGTCAAAAGTCTAGCAATAGTAGATACTGACAAAATTATAGCAATGGATTTACTAATTTATAGACAAATACTAAGTTTACTAAGACAAAAAAAGAATAGAATTCCAAATGACACCCTGATCAAAAAATGAGCAACTAAAGCCAGAATAACTTATAAAAACTCAAAAACAGTAAACTATATAACAAATATGAATAATTAACAAATTCAAGAAGAAACAAACAAAATAGAAGGTATAGAGAAAAAAAGCAAAGTAGAAAAGTCTCAAAAGATAGTTACAAGAAAACAGTAACAAGAAAAAGAGAATCAAGCTGAAGATGTGAGACCTTGTGAATCAGCTAAACTAATAAAGAACAGCATGCATATAGAGGAAGAAAACCAGTCAGATAGGAAAATAACAAACTAAATACCAGTAACAGCTTCTTCTGAAATATCTAAAAAAGAAAATACAAATAAAACAAAGCTTAAGGACAAGAAGTTCAAAGAAGATCAAGAAATTTTTCTAAAAGATATACTCAATGATAGTAAAAAAATATATGAAAAAGAAGCTCAAAAAAAAATCTAAGAACAAAAAGAAAAAGAAAGCATTAGAGCTTTAGAAAATCAAATCGTAGCAATACCATTAGAGGATAGCTTGTGGTTATTTAAAAATAAAGTATGTAATCACAAAAACTCATTTAGAACAAATATTTCAGCATACAATCTACTAGAAGATAACAAAATCAAAAGAGTGAATTATTTAAAATAGATGCTAAGAGACAACAAGCATATCAAATTGATCAAAGAGAAATTTAAAAGAGGAAACAACTAGGTAGTAATTAATTTTGATTGTGAATTTAGCAGAAGTGCAGCAATTAAAAAAGTTAAAAGAAAAGAAGGTGATTGGCTAGTTATGATTTCAGATGAAGAAATAAAGAATTCTGCAAAAGAAGATTATAAACAACCCAAAAAGTACAAAAAAGAATTTAAACAAACAAGTTCAAACAATATAAAAGAGGAAACCACAAATAAAGAAGAAGAAAAAATCATGACAGAACAGAAAATTCTGACAATTTGGGATTTATCTCTAGTTGTTAACAAAAAAGAAATAAGATACATGTGCAGAAGGTTTCAAGATTTATACATAATATAAGTAAAGAGGATGCAATATAAGGCATTAGCAGTAATCAAAATAAGTATCAAAGAAAAAAGAAATATGTTCTGGTTCTTACCTTTAGAAAACAATAAACTCATAAAAATAACTGAAGGAGATGAAAATTACAACTAAAGAGATAAACAGTGCCAATTTACAGCAAGACTGTTAGATATATCCAAAGAAGCTTTAGAGGTCTTACTCTTATGATGTTTAAAAAACAAAGAAGCAAAAGCTGTATATATTCTAGCAAACAGAAATGGAAACCAAAAAAAGTTTGTGATAATAATATTTGTAAGTACTGAAAAAATGGATCTGGCTTAAACCAAACCAATATAGTAAAACAACTATCGAGTAATTTGAGAAAACTATCAAAGAAAAGATTCAAAAAGAAATGAAGTATCAAGAGGAAGAAAATGAACAGTGTCAGAATTAAGAAACAAAAAATAAACAATTTCAAAGTCAAAAGAAACAATATAACAAATAGAAAAAAATAATAATGCAAACAGAGAACAGTTTTTAGAAAATCAAACAGAGTATTTAACAGATAACATAGCAGAAGAAGGAAGCTCAGAAAAGAGAAAAAACAAATTCAAAGCCCAAACTAAAGAAAAAGCTTTAAACACAAAAGATATTCTAATAAAGATTTTAAATAGGCTATAAAAGTT